TAAGAGAGAGAAAAGGAAAGAAAAAATTGGAACTTTTATGATATTTGAGTCTCAGGTATTTATGAAGTTCAACCAACCTTATATGTCTTGGTTAATTAATCATTCTGTTTGTTCACTTTTTTGATTTGGAGTTAACCATGCTATTCAAGTTCTATTTAGAAAAGTTAACAATTCTACTTTCTTAGCTTGTTCAGCTTATGCTTCTGGAGGGTCAAATGAAAACACGCCTGGCTCTTTCTCCAGGTTCAGAGGTCCATTCACTCCTTCACAATGGATGGAGCTGGAACATCAGGCTTTGATCTACAAGCATTTCGTGGCAAATATCCCCGTTCCTCACCACTTGCTTATTCCTATCAAGAAGTCTGTGAACCCATATGCATTTTCTGGCTTGTCAGCTGTTCCCTATGCCTCCTCCAATTGTAAGATTTGTCACTTCCCCTATCAAGTATTGACATCGATTATGCCAAAATAGAATATGCTTTTGATCTTATCCATTTGTGTAGTTGTTGTATATGAATTTATCATTGTACGGCGTTGGATCTTCAGTATACGACAACATTGTATTTTATATCAGCGCGTTGGTTAAGGGCATCCATTTTACCATTTAGGTCAAGGGTTTGTATCCCAACTTTAGTGGTTCGAAGTTTTTGAGCTTTCTTCTGACAAAAAGTTATTTTTTCGCCACCAGGTTTTGGTTATTTCATTCTGCCCCAAAATGGAGTAGCAAAACCAAATGGACCAGCACATGTAATGCTGGTTTTACTATTTAATTTAACTCTTTACCTATTACCTAATAGGGAAGAGCTTTCTCAACGGTGAAGTTGATTAAGACCGACTTACAGAATCTAATGAATAATGAGGTTTTGAGTGGTTGTTTGGGGTATTATATAGAAATAAAGTTTCTATTATGGGTACATTTAAAAAATGAGAACTTGTCGAGGAGAGTTGTAATTTATATGGAATACATTTTAAAAAATGAGAACTTGTCGAGGAGAGTTGTAATATTATACTGGAATTGTGTTTTTCTTAAAATGCTGTTGTTAGAGTGATTTGTTTATTTATCCGCTTCTTTAAATGTTGACACCACTTACAGTAGATCCCTTGTATGCCAGTTATTGCTTCATAACTAGGCCGTGAATGAAACAACTCCAAAGAGTCTTACTCCTTGTTGCTTATCTGTCTTAGTTACTTTGCAGGGAACTGCGTATCATCTCTTGGACAACTGGAACCTTATATTGGATTCTAATGATTTTGGTTTAGTGCTAATCCAGTTCCATTTCTTAGTCCTATATATCTGCTTAGAAGTATCTCCATTCCTGAATTTGTGATTTCTCGTGTTATATTCTGGGGCATGCTTTCACATTTAGGATTTCCTAATAGCATACTCTTATTCTGTGATAGATATACATTGTTTTAGGAAGCATGAAAAATATTGTTAAAAAAGGTCTTTCCTATCCATACTTTCTGTTTTTCTTTTTAATCTTAAAGAATCAATCTTGTGACGAATGATTTGAAAGTAGTATTCTTCTGCATACAGTTCAGAAGTAACTTTATCTCTTAAAAATTGGCGTATTTCAGTAGTATTCTTCAGTTTTCCTAATATTTGGGATATTTGTTCAACGTCTCACATTTTAGGTGAGGTACAGAATGTTCATAACTAATTACATCGGACCTTCTAGTTTTCGAATGGTTAGAGGACATTTGCGTAGTTTTTTACCGGTTGTGCCATAAAGTTATTTACCAATGATATATTAGTCTCCTATATTTTTCTGCTTTTCTGTGTTTCTTTTTTTGCTTTTCTGTTTGTTTGTTCATCTTTTGTCTACTTTGTGGTACATGTAGGGGGATGGGGTACTTTCCATCTAGGTTTCGCTGGCAACACTGATCCTGAGCCTGGTAGGTGTCGTCGAACAGATGGAAAGAAATGGCGGTGCTCTCGAGAAGCTGTCCCTGATCAGAAGTACTGTGAAAGACACATAAATAGAGGCCGTCATCGTTCAAGAAAGCATGTGGAAGTACAGAATGGCCATGCTGTCTCTGGATCCACCACTTCAAAGGTGGCATCGGTTGCACCCTCTTCATCAGCGACGGTGATATCCAGCAGCGGCACCCTCCTCAATAGCGGCGGCGCATCCAACAGCCTTGGTACTGTTCAGCAGCAATTAAATAGCTTGCAGCCCAGCGCTGCCAATCCTAACACTGAGCAGCTTGTTAACAGGTACTAAATATTGAAGTCCTGAAAGCTGATTGATATGCCCATTTTAATGCTTTCATGTCCTTGTCAATCTTGAAATGGATGCCTTGATTTCTTGTAAGGTGTTAAACAGAAACTTGAAAATAACTTGAAAACTTGATTTTCATTAAAAAAATTGTCAACATTAGGTTTTACTATTTTACCATCTGAAAACCTTGCTGGGAATAAAAGGAAAAAGTAACTAGAAATTCATAAAATATTTATTAATCTTTGGCCCTAATTGATTAGTCTGCATATGACATAATCCTTATAGAAAAATTATGTATATGACAGAATGCTAGGTCATAGAGGTGCCTCTGTGATATCTCCAACAATTTGTGTGAAGCCCAAGGACTCAGCTATTTCAGTTCAAAAGCAACATAATGGAGTTGAACTATCCTCGCTGACCGATTTTGGACTAGTTTCATCGGATTCCCTTCTTAATCCTTCGCAAAGAAATTCCTTTGTAAATCCTAAGAATCCTATTGCTTTCCTAAATTTCAATGACCAAGAACGAAGTGAACAACATCCAGTTCACCATTTTATTGATGGATGGGCCAAGGAACAGTCGTCCCGGGCCTCTACATGTTGGCCAGATCAACTGAAAGACTGGACTCAACTGTCCATGTCCATTCCCATGACTGCCTCTGATTTCGCATCATCTTCAAGTTCTCCTCGGCAAGAGAAGCTCACGCTTTCCCCTTTAAGGGTATCTTGTAATGTTGATCCCATCCAAATGGGCTTAGGAATGACAAGTAGCTGTGGCGAACCTATGCAAAAGACAGCTAGTTGGGTACCAGTATGCTGGGAACATTCACTTGGTGGTCCATTAGGAGAAGTCCTGAATAGTACTGCAGGTAATTCCGGAGATGGCAAAAGTGTCTCAGCTTTGAACCTGGGAACTGAGGTTTGGGATAACAGTCCTTCATTTGGATCATCTCCCACAGGTGTTCTGCAGAAGACGACCTTTGTTTCACTCTCAAACAGCAGTTCAGGGAGTAGTCCACGAGGCGACAGCAAGAAGGTTCATGATGGTATTGGCATGTGTGATGAGGTGATCGGTTTAACAGTGGCGAGTTCTGTGTGTATTCCTTCAATGGAAGTCTCGTGTTTGATTAAGAACAAACACTAGCAGTGTTCTCGCCAGGTCCAGAACAGTAGAAAGTTACCTTGTTGATTACCTACTTATTTTTACTTTCCCCTTTGCTCAGACTTTTGACAGGTATGTCTAGTTGTTATAACTTAAGACGGACATTTGAGGTTAGCTTATCCGTCCAGAGAACTCAAAAGTATTTGTGATTGTTACCACCTTGTTTTTTTTCCCTGCAACATCAATGTTGAACTCTCGTTTTCTAAGAGTTTTCTTATTGGACGTATTTATATTCAATGAACAAGTTATTTTGCAAATTGGGAAATGCAGTTCCAGACTTTTAGTATTAGCTTGCTGTTTAGGGCTTCGTAATTAGTTTACACAGCGTAATGACCAAGGAATTGACAATTGCTCAATAAACCTTTCTTTTATTTGTTTTCCTTTCGAGCTTGTCCAAAGCTAGAGTTGCTATAGAACGTGCTTTACCCGCAGTTCACCAGAAAGTTTTCTTCAACAAAGAGAAGGATGGTACTAAAAGTGTATGGTAGATTGTTTACACGAAAATGTTCAAATATACCATAGTTCCAAAGTTTAAATATACCATTAAATTTGAAAATCCGCAGCTTTTATTGCCAAATGTATTTTGGCTGCCAAGTTCTAGTAGTCTCCAAGCTACGGGTCTACTCTTGACGGTCTCTTTTTAACATAACTTTTCTGGTTTTTGCTTGTCAATAGATGGTAAACTGTAGAGGCTTGGCGTATAATTAATACCACCAGAACTGATTTTTTATTCGATGTACTTGATTAAGGTTGACGTGCTGCATGTTAAACAGTGCTTCTTTTTTCAAGTATAATAATGTCAATAAAATAGTACTTCATCCATAAACATGAAAATATATAAATACAATGTTTTTGATGTAGTTAATCATCACATATAATGTGGAAACTCTTAAAATTAAATATAGCACATCTGCTACCAATGTAAATACACTCAAATGAAAACATTATATTAATTCCAGAACCAATCCATATAACATGATGCGTTCATTGGCTATCAAAATATCAAAGCTAGGTCACGAGAAAGAACATTAGAGCATCAATTTGAGTCCGCAGTTGTGTAATTGAGAAATTGTCCTTGAGCAAAAGAGTGTCCACATGAGTTTGTTGGGTGTTACACAAACTTGAGATCCTCTATTAGATTCTGTCGAGATAATTAGTATTGCAACAAATAAATGAAAAAAAAGATCAAACATAAATAATACAACATGAACGAAATAATTATTCAATATAAAATAAATGATACGCAAAAGAAGATGTATCATCGTTTACTGAACCATTCCATCATGAATAAGTCAAGTGGTTCACCCAATAACAATGCAATTTTTGATGTCCCTGAAGTTTACGAGAGATCAATTCACTTAAAGGCAATCCATCCCTGCTTTTTTCATCAGGTTTGAGAACAATTATTTAATTCATAAGAATAGGGTTGACACTTGAATTTTCTTCTAGTAAAACTATAATGTATCATCGTTTACTGAACCATTCCATCATGAATATTGTCAAGTGGTTCACCCAATAACAATGCAATTTTTGATATCCCTGAAGTTTACGAGAGACCCATTCACAAGAAGGGCAATAGGTCCCTGCTTTTTTCATCAGGTTTTCTAACAAAGAAATAAAGCTCAGAAGCCAAGCGTAACAAGAAAATTTCATCGAAGATCCAAGCTTAAAATAGATCTCCTTACGTGTTAGCTATCTCATCACTGCATCATATAATTTGGCTACTGTTAATTTGAAGGAATGCTGGAGAGAAATGAGAACATCCTCCAATCGTGATAAGTAGCATTATATAGGCACCGTGCAAAAGGTAATTTCTCATTGAAACAAGAAGAAAATACCCGTTGTCTGAGATATGCCCTTAAAAGAAGAATTATGTATAAATATATCCAAGAAATTGTATCAAGAGAGTACAACAAACTCTAATGGATCTTCATCTTGGATTCATTTAGGCTTCATGCGGCAGACGGGTTACCATTAACCGGCACCTGCTGCAGACTCTTTTTGTGAAGCCATTGTTAACAACATTCAAAACAAAACCAAAGGGAAATTCATTGCTTTTACTATGATATTACTCTCCTCCCTGCCATAGATCAGTTATGGCAAAAAGCAAAATTGATGAAAACTAAAGCAAACAAAGGCTCAGACACGCACAAACAGGTCATCAAAAAAGTATATAACTTTGATATAGTTATATATCAGCATCGAGAAATGATTGATTTCTTCATGGCCTCTTAAAAAAACAAATACTAACAATAATGATATGAAAACAAAGAAGATAGGCTCAGACGACACGCACAGGAGTCATCAAATTGATGAAAATTGTTGCATTACAATCATCTCAGGAATGCATTTTTGTCTTCACAGCCTCAAACTAGCATCTGAAATAGAAGAACACTTTATACACAGAGAAAACCCTAGCCTTCAAATCTAAGAAGGTGGACTGTGTTTGGGCTTCAACATGACATAGGAATTTATTACTTGGGCTCAAGTACAACGCCAATCCTTTGGACCAGATACAAAGCTGTAAACTTGGTCTACTTCGTGAGAAAATATCAAAAATAGTGCCTCAACTATAAGGGTAAGCCTAAATAGCCCCTTAACTTTATTTTTGTGGTTTTTAGTTATTTAATTTAGGGAAAAAGCTCAAATATGCCATTGAACTTTTAGAAAATACTCATTTATGCTATCCGTTTTAAGTTTGACTCATCTATACCATTAGTGTTCAAGAAAAAACTCATTCATGTCATTATTTTTTAAAAAGTGGTTTTGCAAAGTCATTTTTGCCACATGACCAATTGTAATTTGGCCATGTCATCAATTTTTTAAATAAAAAAATCATAATTCTGAAATGAATTGAATTAAAAAAATTGATGGCGTAGCCAAATTATAATTGGCCACGTCATCAAATTTTTAAATAAAAATTGAATTAATTATTTTTAAAAAATTGATCATGTGACCGATTATAACTGGCCATATGTCAAAAATGATTTTGCAAAACTATTGTTAAAAAATAATGATATGAATGAGCCTTTTCTTTAATAGTAATGACATAAATGAATCAAACTTTTAACTAATGACATAAATGAGTTTTTTCTGAAAGTTCAATGACATATTTGAGCTTTTTCTCTTTAATTTATTCAAAATCAGATTTTGGTTCTTTAACATATACATTTATAGTTTTAACCTCTTAACTTTATATTTATCGACTTTAGTCCTTTAAGTATTTTAAAAATTCATCAATTTCGTTCTTTGTCCATTTTTATATAAATTACTTAGGTTTGTATTAACAGAATTGATGTCTCAAAAGTTAAATCCTTAATTCATTTTTTTAGTTACGTTGTTTTTCTCTAAACGATTCAAAATAAAATTTACGAGGAAAGAAAAAATATATCAAATTTTTATTCGATGAACGATAAAATGAAGTATATTATTGCTACTAATAACTTGAATATGCTAAACTTTATTATAAAAAAAATATTATTTGTTGAATTAAAAAAAACGACTTTATCGACATAAAATTGTTTAATTGTTTTAGCCTTTGTAATTTATAAAATCGTAGATTTGTAACTCATTTTTAGTTTTTTTTTAAAATAGATTGTTTTATTATTTCCATCATTCTATTTTACGTAGAAAAAATTGAATAATAAGATTAAATCTTTTATTTTCTTTTGTGTGAAAAATAAAATTTAAAAATATTGCATTGATTAGGAGTCGTTAACTGCCAAAGAAGGGTATACATGATATTCATGTCATTAGTAACAATTATGTGTTTTATTTTTTTTATATTGAATAAAATTGAGACTTATATATTATTTTCTTGTGAATTTTATATTGAATTGTCGATGTTATTAATATTTTTATAAAGTAATTTGAAAAAAAAGTAACGGAAAAGAGAAAGAACTTAGAAATGGATTATAATTTTAATTTCATGAAGATTTCTGTTCATATACACACAAACTATTTATAAAAAAAATGGACAAAACAAACCTTAATAATTTTTTAGATAATTAAAAGATTAATCTTTAAAAATACAATAATTAAAGAATCAAATTGGTAAGTTTTAAAATAAATTAAAAAATTAAAACTAACAAAATATAATTAAAGAAGGGAAAAGAGTTTAACATTGTCTCTGAACTGTGTGAAATAAATCAGTTATATCCTTCGTTACATTTTGAGATAAAAAATATCGTTGTTGTTATTCTAAGAGACAAAATATTCTCAAGAGTTACCACCTCAAATTTTTATTGACATGGCAAACTACATGGGACTAATCCTTCCACCTAAGCGTTGCCAACTAGGATTCACTACAATAGAATTACACCTTTAGCAGTGATAAAGTCGCCACATAAGCCCAGAAAATCGTCAAAACTTTTCAACATTAAATTCTAATTTTGTGTTTTTTCATTATTTTTAAAAAGTAAAAGATACTATCGATTAAGTAAGAGTTTGAAGACATTGTATTTTTATTTTTATGTCATATGTAAATGTATAAAATGTACAATGATGCATTCTATAGAAAGAGATTTGTCGAGAAGTAAATTTGATGGTTTTCGTATTAATATTTATATTGCAAGTTATTTATTTTAGAAAATTAGGTTGCAATTGAAAATTAATTGTTATATTTTTTCTGTTGAATAAATAGATTTTACTAGCGAATGGTTGTTGGAGTCTTAGTTGCCACTAAAAATTACTCATAACCTTTAGTGTCAACAAAGGTCAAGTTCTTTTGTAGTGAATCTTAGTTGGCAATGTTCCACGTGGCTTGCCACGTCTCTAAAAAAGTTGAGGTGTTAACTCTTGAGGGTATTTATGGTCTCCTGAATAACAGCGGGGTATTTTTTAATTTCAAAATGTAATGAAAAATAAAAATGATATATTTCACATAATTTAAAGAAACTTTTATTCCTTTTCCAAATTAAAGAATTATTTTAGACCTACTCCTACGATTAATACACTATTTATGCCGTTTGTTTCTTTTTTTTCTTTGGTTAAACCCTTAGTCTCTTTACGTCGTATATGGGCAATATTTGGCTGAAAAGGGAAAGACGCGAGGGTATTAAATCGAAGTTCGAAATAATTGAGTATCTTTATGTTTGTTTGTATATAGATTTTGCTTGGAAAGAAAAATAGGAAAAATATCACTACATTGACATATTCTTACAATCCTCTATAGATTATTTTTATTTTGAAAAATAAAAACAAAAATTCTACTAACAAGTATTGAAATATTATTATATCCAAAACGGAGAGGATGAAGGGGCCATAATACATTGAAAAAACTAATATATACCTTAATTTATGTATTACTAATACTTAGTTAGACTCTTTTTATTAGGGTATTAACTAATAAATACATTAGTTATATGGAATTTATTTAATATTATGATATATAATTAAATAACACTAATAAATGATAAATCATAGTATAAGCATTTTAGCATGTAGATATTGAGGGTGCAAATTAATAACTTGTACGGATAATTTAAAAAGTTTAATTTTGGCGCTGCAGATACTCCATGCATCTCCTCCAATATAATGTGCAAACCACAATTAATCTAAGTTTTGATCGGGGCGAATCGTGGATTCAAGGTTTATCTAAATTTTCTTGATAAAAATTACACAGTATATATTAGGTAATTTTTTTGTATTTTTTTATATATATATATATTGAACTCCCTAAATGACAAAGAAAAATTGATAGCGCAATGGCAAGTCCCTTTGAAATTTAGCTTTAGGTGACCAATTTAAATTTGCAAGATAGCGCTTATCTTTTTCTCTTTTTTATTTTTTTTGTGTTTCAATTCTGTTTTTTTCTAGTTTTTAGTTTCTTTTTTTTTAATTTTAAAAAACACGCTAAAAATGTGATTTTCAAATTCAAAATAATGCAAGGATCCCCTGAACGTTTTTTTTGACTTCGCCACTGATTTTGATCATTGACAGTGAAAAAGTCTTCTCATTAATTTGTCCATATTTTCCGCTATAAATTCATTGAGGAAAAAGCCTTTATGACGTTCATGATTTATGTTAAGAAATTCACTGAATGTATAAATTATTTAGGGAAAATTTTACATATAGCTTAGAAAAAATTGATTACTCTCTGTAACTATAGTTTGATAATTACAATTTGTAGCTACATGTTATTTGAAAGAGAGAGGCGAGCGAGACTGAAGAGAGAGGCGAGAGAGAGGGGAAAAAAGAGTAGGAGAAAGGTGATATTATATATATATATATATATATATATATATATATATTGGTTAGATAATTTTATATTATATATATGTAATTGTATATATGGCAAGAGAGATTGGGAGAGGAAAGGGAGAGGCGACTGAGGCTGAGAGAGAGAGAAGAGCGAGATAGGATAGAGAGTGGGAGAGAGGTGAATTGTATATGTATATATTTGTATATAACTGTATATTATACATATACATTTGTATAAATGGCAAGCGAGTTTGGGAGAAGGAGGAGAGAGACGAGCGAAATTGAGAGAGGGAGGAGAGAGGCGAGCGAGAGAGCGCAGAGAGTGAGAGAGAGGTGAATTATATATGTATATAGGCTAAAAAATTATCTATTATACATATTTATTTGTATATCCTGACAAATTATACATATACAAATATGACTAATTATACAAACTCAAAGTCCGCCCACGTAATTAATGTATAATGTTAGTCGCAGATGGTTATTATAAAAACTATAGTTATAATAAGTAATTAAATAATATAAGTTTTCTTATCCGTATAATTTTTTCAATTATTTATTTAGAATACTACAATTACTTTACTTTTTAATATAAAAATTCATAAATTTAAAATTTTAGATTCAATGACAAGATCAATATAACACTATGTCATAAAGCTCTTTATTGATTAAAAAAGTGGCATGCAGGATATTTTGTTTCATGGTGGTACCTAAACTCATTTTATGGACCAAGTTAATATCTTCGACTAATTGGTACCTCCAACCAAACTGCTTGCGTATGGCGCAATTTAACGTACGATTGTCAGTTTAACCATCGTCTTTTCACATACATATTTTTATTCTTATATAATGATTTCACTGCTGGAATAGTTGTAACCAAACCAAATCTTTAGGAAAATCACAAAAGTAGTTATAATGTTAGCTGATTAAAAACAAACAATTCACCAACTCTAAAGATTCTCTGATTAAATTAACTAGCTAGATGATGTCAATTAAGAAGGTAAAATATGCTCTCTGTTTTTTTTTTGGTAAAAGAGATTGATCATAAATTAACATTTATTTTTAATTTACTATCATTTAATAAAGATCTCGAGTTAAAACTTTTGATATGAAAAAATTGACTTTTATTTTTAATGAACCTTTCGCATACAAATTTAAATTAATTGAACTAACATTTTTTTTTTGGTATCAAATGCTTAAACAAAAAGAAAAAATGTAAGGATATTTGATTGAAATAACAAACATCCAATAGTCCCTCTCTCACATTTTACATGCATCAGATAAATTTTTTATTCCATTACTCTCTACACATTCTTAAATGGTTTTAATACAACAAATTGTAACCCTTCCAATTTATTTGACGGATTTATCAGTCGGAGAGGTTTGTACACATCACAGTTTTCTTTTGATATGCTTCAAAATATGCTCTCTGATTTTTTCTTGTAAAAGAGCTTGATCACAAATCAACTCTTTTGATTCATAGTATTTTTATATATAGTTTTCGAATATATTAATTTGATTTTTGAAAGTTCAAAAACTACATATTCTAATTCAAACAAATAGAGGGAGTAAATACTTCTGTCCATAGTATTATGTTAGATTTTTACTGAAAATTAAGTTGATATGTTTTGAGAACTTGTTCGAAGTACACTTTAGTTTTTAGAACATAAGAGTAGTTTAAAGTACAGTAACTATTGTTACAAGATTATTTGAATAAAGAACATCATCCATCTTACCTAAAGATGTCTTGATCAAAATGATCATACATATCGGAGAAACAAAAAAAAGATGGGTGACATTTTACCTTAATCTGTTTCTTTGGATGCAGATCATGTTGTCAATAAGTAATTATTGAACGATGTAGCGATGGTCCATGTCAACCAAAAAAAATAAAATACTATTCCCTCCGTTTCAAAAAGAATATGCTAATTTGATTTGGAATGAAATTTAATTATTTTTTAGTCTTGTAGTTCTAAATTAAATTTATATCAAATAACAAATGTGCCAAAATGCACTGTAATCTTGTAACCTTAAACATATCATGTTGAAAAATTAAAATTAAAGTATTGATAAAATGAAAATGACTCGTTTTTTTAAAACAAAACATTCTTTTTAAAAAATGAAGGGAGTATGGTACACTGAACAACTACATTTGACCAAAAAAATCATTTTCTCATTATTTCAAAATTTTGACCATGTATTAAAACATAGAAACTTTAAATTTTTTAAAATAAAATTTATATATTTAAAAACTTAAAGATCACTATACATTACAATAACAAATAATTTAAAATAATTAGAAAATAAAGTATAAAAGCATTTCGATTAAAAAATTTGAATGGACTCTCAAAATTCTAACTATGTCATATAAATTGGGACGGAGGAGATTTTAATTTAAGACTCCTTTATCGATAATAAGGGGTATTAAGTCAAAGAGAAGCAAATAACAAAGGGAAGTAAGGCTACAAATTAACCTCTTAAATTCGTCTGCAAGCAAAATAGTCTTTTTTTTCTTCTCTTGACGTCGTTTCAATTGCTGGCCGTGACAAGGAACTCGATCTTAGTGTAATAGTTAAGCTATACTACTGCTGAATATAAATGAACAAATGAATGCTAAAATTAAAAGCAAAGATGATCAATTAGTGCCAAACACACAGAAAAAATGAGTCCTCGAATAGTTGATATACGAAGAAATAGTAGTATAGCATTTTCATGGGAAGATTCACCTGGCGTATCTAAATATTTCATGCGCCACCAAGATTTCTCTTCCTCAAATCATCATTTCAACGGCGAAAAGATTCCGCCGCCTCCTCCGTGTGCAGCCTTTCGGCCTCCAATAATTGGGAAAAGCTCTTCGCTACGTGATGACCCTTTTATTACAGCGTTAATTGAGTGCACAAAAACTACTACTCTCGGAAACAGCAAAAGGCCTTGTATTGATAATAATAATAATAATAATGGATCGTCTAAGGGATCAAAGAAGAGCAGCTATTTCTGTATGATCTTTTCGTGCAAGCACTCTTTAGATGAAGTCAAAGTTGGTAACTTTCTGAAAATATCAAATCTTCCTCCTATCCCTGGTCCTAGATCTAGAGGGAGATACAGAGCTCTGAGTGCCGTGGACGACAATTAATTTCTTTATCAAAACTATATTGTATCCTAAATTATATGTTATCATGTTATAATTTCAGCTCTATATGCATGTAATTAGATTTATGATGAATTGTGCCGCAGTCGTTATGTCCATTTTGCTGCATTATTTATTTTACATTAAGGTATATATGTGTAATCGACATATTTCTTTTCGCTGCATTAATACAACAACCTAACTAAGCTAAGAGGAATTTTATGAGAGGAAATCATTCTATTTTATTATTATTTTAGAAAATCAAAAACCATTAGTAGTAACACATAAATAGAGGGACCAAAATGCAATAAATTTTAAAGCACAATATTTGCGAATCACCCTCTCTCTCGTGGAGTGCCTCGTGAAATGTTCAGCTTGCATCAACGAGATGGCCTGTTTCCTTCGCTATTCCTCCACTCCAAAACCCTAATTTTTTTTAAAACTATTCTGGATTTCCTTGTTGCCCTATAGTTGGTGGCGCCGCTCAAGTCTAATGGTTACTGCAATAGCCACTCCGGCGGCTATTGTTTGTTCCAGCCGGCGTAAGGATCAAATATTCAGTTACTCAGCATCAATCACCAGGGCTACGTTTTCTTTGGCTTTTGTTTCCTTTAATAAGTCGTCTTCTTCTGTGAACCTCTGTTCTTTTCTCGGCAAGTTCCATCAGACCAGCGATGTGAGTTTTTTTCCCTTCCAATTCCAATTAGACATTTATACATGTTGTATTTTACACTACCGGTTATGTCTAATTTCTAGATGTTTATTTGGATGATGTTTAATCGGCTATGGCTATATTGTATCGTTATCTTCTTCTAATTGTTGAATCACTGCTTGTAAACTCAATTTTGAAGTGGGAATACTCAAGGTTGAAACAACAATTCCGTTCTCTGCGATGTAAGAGATAGCTCAAAGTCTGGCTTTACATTTTGCTCAACATTAGTGCTTTCGTCAATCATAATATAATGCATATTGCTTGGATTTAGGATCTCCCTTGAGACTAATGTTATTCCAATGACGTACGCCCTAGCGATTTAACATGGAATATTGCATTGCTCTTTATTTTATGGCAAATAGCTAGTAGGATTTTGACAAGTTTACCAAATGTTGGAGGTACAAGGTTGACTAGACATTGATTACCTAGAAGTAAAGAGTTGTTCCGGTTCGGGCCATAGAGCACTCAGTCTTTATGACTAAGTTTCCAGAGATAAAAGAGAATCATCACGTTCTTATTGTTAAAATAACTAATAAAAAGGAACATGATATAACCTTCAAATATCGAGAATGATAAAATAACTGGTAATCATCATTGCATAAGCCATAATATGTCATAAGTTAAAGTTCATTTGTTCATTTATTTTTTTCCTTCTTCCAATAGGAAACAATTTACGGTTATTCCTGCTCAACTCAAATATCTTATGTTTGTCCCGAAGAGAAAAGTCTTGAAATAAGAGAAGTGCTAGATGAAATGCTTAAAGAATTGGGTATCATTCAGCAACTCTTTTTCCATGATCTTAAGATTTGTATTCATATGGTCAATTATATTGAGCTCAAAAAACTATCTAGCTTTCATGTAATCTCCTCTGTTTTTGATGTGTTCTCTGTGTTGAATTTAGCTATGCTCTCAATTTGCCATGGTGCTCACTATACGAATCTTCAAAATTATTGATCTGGTCTTTTGAAAGTATCATCAAAAATGTGTTTGGACCCAGCACTTTTGTCAAAAGGGAAGATCAAAATTTTGTTATATGGCAAAAAATGAGTCTGCTGCATGCCTTGGACAATTCTTTTCTTCCTTTTTGGATGATCACCTAGAAATGTCCCTTTTCCCCTCAACGCGCTTTTCCTTTCGCTAATTATTGACATTCTCATCCTTTCATAAATCATCAGAGCAACAATACATATATCCTATAGTATGAGTCAAGTTTAGAAAGTGATTTGAGATTGAGAAAGGATGAGAAGAGTAGCTATCACAATTAACTTCTATCTCCTGTTTATATCAGGAGAAAGCAAAATTTACAATTTTGAGGTTTAAAATGCTTGCTTTGACAATTGATTGTTTAAAGGACATCTGCTTCTGTGCGTTATTGATCTTACAAGTGGGATTATACCCAATATTATCCAAAATGGCATGATTATTATATCGGGGATTATGATATATTTTTGACATGTATGTCTATGTGGAATACTTGCTATCCCAAGATAATGTGTTGTTTGGGCAGAGCTTTTGCTTAGATGTTTGGTAATGGAGTTTGCATTATGCCGAAGTCCTAATTAACATAGTACTAAGTCACTGTGAAGTGCATACTGTGAATGATGTCCTAATTTTTCTTTTTTCAAATGCGAACTTCTGTTGTAGTAATGTTTATTGAAGTTTTCAGTACTCCTATGTGAATTTCTGTTAAGAAAGTGTTTATTGGAGTTTTTTTACTCGCTTTGTTTCGTTTATATGATAGTGTTGGACTTGACAAAATGTTGAAGATGATAACTTGACTTCTATAATATATTAGTATTCGTAAAAAAATTATATATAGATAATGGTTGAAAAGTTAATTTTATGGGAAAAAACACTACTTTTAATTGAATGTTCTGACAGTTGTTTAGATTAATATTTTTAATTGAATGGTTTTAAACATTTTGAGACGTCCCATAACAGAGAAAGTGTTATCTACGTTGTGACGGATGGAGTATGATTGTTTGTTGATAGATTTCTGAAATTCAAAAAAGGCTTATCCTCAGATGTAGGTTTATGTCCCACTTCTTTTATATATTTTGGTTTGGGTGGAGCTGGTGGATCTAAAATGCGGTTCTCATAAAGTTTATTTAGAGGTCTTCACACTATCATAGTTTGATCATCTAGTGTACATTGTTAAATTAGATGTCGATTAGCATATATCCTTAATTTATTTATTAATTCTCCTTAGTTTACTCCTGTTGTTGCATTACATGAATAAGATACTTCAAGGCTTTTCAAATTGAGTGTTTGCGAATTCTAAACATGCATAGTCATCTATAAGGAAATGTGGCTAGGTGCTTGAAGGTTATTGAGATTTCTCTCATGATTTGTGTGGTCCTTCCCTCTTTTTTTTAACTTAGGTAACAAATAAAGGCAAACTGCACATGGAATATTATGTTCCTACAAATAGGTTTTGCTGATGGAAATGGCCTTTGATCTATGTTATACAATCCCTCATATTAATGTTGGCAGCATCACTTTCAAGGTCTAGAAAACAGGTTTAATTTCCAGCATCAGTTGCATTATAAGGAAAATTGGTTTTCTGATCCTGTTTTTATATCAGGAAATGTTGACAAGCTTCAGTGCTAGAGGTTCTCAGTTTCTGTGTCCTGTAATTTGTGAAGTTGACGGTTGCAAAGAGGGAGATGCCAAGAAACAAAGGGTAGCATATGCCATTACAGTGAAATCGGATGAAACAACCAATAGGCGTGTATTAGATATCCAAAATTCAGTCTCATCTGAACGGAAGAAGATGTTGAAAGTGGAGAGAAATCCCAAGCGTCTCAACAATAGTGTGTCACAGAGGAACAAACTTGAATGTTACCAGGTCATCCAATATCCTCTGAAAACTGAGTCTACTATGGGGAATATATTACGTCATAATACTTTGGTTTTTGTTGTTCACAAAGATGCTGACAAGAAGAGCATAAGGGATGCTGTAAAGAAACTGTTTAAGATTGAATTGAAGAAAGTAAATACATCAATCATGCCTGACGGGACGAAGAAAGCATATGTTATGCTGACACCAAACCATAGTGCATTAGATGTGGCAAAAAAAATCAAAGCCATTTAAAAGTTGATTCTCCATCTTCCTTTCCTTTCTATGACAATCTGGTGGTTATATAAGGTTCTGCAGTTAGAAACTAAGAGCTCATGATTTATATTTGTATGCAGGTGATCTTATGCTGCAATTTTCTCTAGTGTTTATAGGTACAGTTTTGTAGTTTCAGCTTAATTATAACCGCTCTCTGGAAGTAAGTGAGCAATCATTGTGGTTTTTGGCTAAATGTTCCTGTATGAATGTACGTCTTGGTTCAACACCTTCTTCATTTCCCCCCAAATATTGGGAAAAACTTGTAATCTGTGTGAAATCATTATGTTTTCAAGCTTTCCATTGAAATACTTGATAACAGGAGGATCGGCTTATAATCATTTCCCAATTAATGTTTGTGCTGTAGGTTTGTAAAGTTGACGACATGGAGCCATTTAGCTCTTGGTTCTCAATTGGACTGATGTACTTTTATTTTTTTAAAATTCACAGGAAATGCAATAATGCAGAGATTAGTTGGGAGAAAATAGTAACATATTGCAGACATTTCCTAGTTCCTACCAACTGACAAAAGTGCAAGGCACAGTAAGTCCTTTGGCTCCTTATCCTTATTTTATCATTTTCCCAAAGGACTCTTACAGTATTCTCACTGATTCTGCTTTATGAAAAATGATCATCCCTGGGGCCTGGTGGATATAGCCCTCTTAGCAAGGGTACAATACAATTCTTCCCTCTGATTTTTTTTGTTTTCAATTTTCCTACTGAATAAGGGAAAAGAAGAACAAGTGGAGCCCTAGCTTTTGATACTCTGTTTCCTTATAAATCTATAACCAGCACTACCAGCTACATATAAAGATGAGCATTAATTTCTAACAAACCCTTGGTTTTGCAAAAGTAGTACGTAATCTTATAAGTGGAGTTTGAGGAGGGTGGTGGGTTCGTAGCCTTACTCCAACCATATGAAGGTAGAAATGTTGTTATCACATCCAATCATTAAATTGTTTAAGGATAATTTTGGAATATTATAGAACATGATTATATCAACCCAATCTTGTTTAAAAAACAAAAACAAAAGTAAAGAATATTTCAATTTACAAAAGAAGGTAATATTACAAAACGAAGTATTAAGAGTACTTTATGGAAGTTATTTTCAGCATATACGCGGATATTATTAGGTTCTCTCTCGTGTGCACGTTTTATATGGATGATTAATTACTCAAATCTAATCTAAATAGCGTTCTTCATAAACTAATATCTTCCCAAATTTGATAACTACTTCCACTTGCAAACTCAATATTCTTGAGTGGAAAATTGGATGCCAGACTTATCTACGTACTTCTCAAAATATTAATATGACGTGACTCCTCTCTGGTTGGAAAAATAAAGCTAACCATCAAAAATAGTAAGTATTAATTACAAATACTTGTGCCTTTCTCTCATCTTAATTAACTTAGAGGTGAAGAAAGGAAGCAAACACGTTCTTTTTATTAAAAAAATAAATATGCACACTTAGAAACCCTTAATTGGTACTCTTACATTTTTTTTTCTTTTTGAGGAAGTGACCTATCAGTTACTTTAAATTAATTTAATTAAATAGAGAAGACCACCCTAAAATCTTTGACAACATAGTATTCTAAATAATGTAATTGAACTTCTCAATATCACGATCTTTGGTTGTTCACCTGTCTATTCTATTTGCATCAATTGATTTCGACAATAATTACTTTACTATACTAATAATCTTACCCCACCAAGAGTGAATTAACAGAAGGATGTTAACTAAAAAAATAAAAAAGAATTTGGTGGCAACTAAACTAGTAAGGTGTTCTAGAAATATGTCCGTATTTTCATCAGCAGGGAATTTATTATTTACACTTGTTAGTAATATTTTGCAATTATTTTGGTTGACCAGAACAAATTTACAGCCATTTAATTGTGACAAAAGCAGTAGTTTAGGTAAATGTAAGTTAGTCAATTCTAATTACTTTTCATAGCTATAATTTCTTTTGCTATGAATATTTCTATTTATATAATTTATTTATCAATATAACATGGTAAGTATATTCAAATTTTGTATTTATACATTTAGGAATTTTTAGAACTTATAATACAGATTAAATGAATCAACATGATAGTTAAATATATACAAGTTTGGATAAGCATATATAAATTTTGAATTTATTCGAGCGAATTATACAAATTCTAAACATGGTCCACGTAAATATAGTTATAAAGTAATTTTTTCAAACTATAACTATGTTAGCATAATTATGACATAATGATGTTAAAAATATTAAATATATATACTAGGATACGTCATTTATCTATACCCTGAATATAAATATCAACCTTGCAAATTGATCAATATTAAATCCGATATATTGATCTAAGGGTCGAAAAAAAAATTATAAAGTGGAAGTACCAATATAAAAGACAAACATAACTACTAGTAGTATTTATGTTTTTAAGGGGATGCTTTTCAAATCATTCACCTTTTCAAAAGAAAAGGAAAGAGATAAATAAATGAAGAAAAAGAAACAAGTTTTACTTGTTCAAACAAACTTTTCTTTAATAGCTTAATTCTTTATCCATGGTGGTTTATAATTTTTAAAAATTTACGTGGGGAATATCCGTGGCACCTGACGTAAAATATTCACACAAGTTGCGCACTAGAAAAATAAATTGTGTTTATTAGTATAAATAGATCCACACTACTTTTGGTGAAAGGGAAAATGAAAATGGGAATGACATATGCAACTTTTTTGTTATGGGTTTAATGGATTAGGTTTCAATTCAGATCAAAACTTCATGGGTCAAATGCTTAAAAGCAAAAAAAACATGTAAGATGTGTGGTCCAGGAGATATTTTTTGTTGGACTACAGTTATCCTAATCTGATCTATTAAAACTTGTTACTAATCTAGAGTTTTTTTTTAATTAAAGAAATGACAGTTAAGTGTCTTGAACGAGAAACAACATGAATGAGTTTGCTCGCATTGCCAATCCAAATAAAAGATGAGGGTTGCGGTCAATGATGAAGCCAAAAATTTTATTAAGTAGAGTTACGATATATGATACAAAGATAGGAGTCATACACCTATTGTAATGTCGGTCAACGAGGTAAAGAATCCGAATCGGAATCAAGAGTACTTTCCTAGATAGAAGAAAAAAAGAAAACCGTCCCTTGACCTAAAAAAGATTCGAATTCTGCTATGCCGTGGTACATGTACATAAAACTAAAATTTTGACCTAGCCAACCATTGTACTCTCTAGTAAAGGGGTGTCACCCTTTAGCATAAGTTGATTTTGTCTTGGTTTCTGTAGAATGATTATGTAAAACTTGTTGAATCATGAGATCCTTTACACGAGTTGTGATTAAACGAAGAAATATCATTAATGAAGTTAGAAATATTGTCAATGAGGATTTAGATAATTCACCCCAATTTATCTTAAACGAAAGCATAATATTGGTATTATCATTTCCATCTAGAGTGTGAGAAAAAGTTGGATGAAAGGAGAAGAGAACATTTTGTCATGACTGAAGAATTGAAGCAATTTTTCTTATGGCGCCATATCTAGAAAGGCACGTGTAATTATTCACCTATATTTGCTTGATATTAAATATGCTTACAAAGTAATTTAAATGCAAAATTATGATTCTAAGTAGCAAGATATTTAGAATTTATCTTAATCCGTTAATTATGTTGACATCCAAAATCATGAAGTTATAACTATAAAGGTACATAACGACGTCATTTCGTCATCTGTATATCTTTATTATTACTATAATATAAAGCTTCCATCTGCTTTCGTACTCGATCCAAATACTCCCCAAAGTTTAGTAAAAGAAAAGAGCATAAATATACATCATATATTGAAAGCAACATATTCCCCGTCCTTTGGTTATTTTGTCACGACACAATTATATATTCTCTACTTATTTATTTGTTGATATTCCTGCATGCGTGTAGATAGATGTGAACACAAATTAAATCAGATGGTAAAGTGAACCATCAGCAATCAGTTAGAGTATTAACCTCGCTAATAAATAAAGAAATTCTCTTTAAGCGCGGTTCCCTCTTGTGAGACGCCATTTAATTAATCAGCATTATTCCTGATTAAGTCTAATGATCAAATCACGGAGATAATTAATGACCATTAATAACGACAAATGTTACTTACGGGGTCCGCCATTCAGATATTGAAAAGTCATGAAAAAACAATTATGGTACTACTTAATAAACGGTAGAAAGGCAAAAGGAAAATAGTTTGATACATTTATTTAACTAATAAACCAAACATAGCACGATTGAGTCATTTACACCATAATGATAGCCCGGTTTTGCTTAAAATAAAACCACCATTTGGTCCCAACCTCAAAACTCCTAGCTAGTAGCTACATAATATTACTACATCTCTTTACCACAATTATACGCACCTTTTAATTTACAAGAAATAGAGAGAGAAATTTCTCTTGTGACTTCATTTCAGTTCATCTGATAGTTATGATTAGAGGAAGAAGCACGTTTAATGATGATTTATTATAGTTCCAATTGATTAATTAATGAGGTCTTTGTTCCATATTATTGCATGCCCATGCAGAATAAGAATTAAATTGCCGGTTGATCCATATTTGACGTATACCCTCAAGTCTTTGCCGAAGGATAGCCGATTCGGTCCTCAGCCGCTCGTTCTCACACTGGACCACTTGGCACTGGTGAGTGATTAACCGTAACCGGTTCATTATTTCCCGGTTCCCTACTTTAAGCCGGTTCGCTTGGTTCCGCAGGTTTTCCAGATGCTTTTGCTTTCGCATGCGAGACCGCCTTGCTGATTCCCGGTTCGATACCATACGTCGACGCTTCCTCTCATCCATGTCACGGTTCGATGTCGTGCGCTGCCGCTTTCTCTCGTCAGGACACCGGTTCGACTTATTATTATTGTTATTATTCCGGTTCGGGTCATCTGAACCGGAACTAGAGTGAACAGAATTAGGTTTGGAGTCATCAGAACCTGAATCGGAGTTTGAAATAACCGGTTCAGGTGGTGGGGATTCCTTGGGTGAAACAACCGATTCCACTTGTTGTGAAAATAGAAAAGCCGGTTCGATACATTCCCAAGGAGTGAATCCTCCATCAAATGCCGGAAATAAATTGGAAAAAAGTCCGTCGGCGGACAGAGTAGTGGCCGGGAAAGTGGACAACATGGCCGGAAAATCGCTTCTAAAGGGGGGTGGGTAGTTAGGAGGAGAAAAGGGAAGTGGTAAGGTCAGGAGTGTAGTATTTATTGGCAAACGGGTGTGTTCCACCAGGGATATTTTTGTAATTTGATTAAACTTTTGAGTCAGGTGTCACTAGTGCGTGGGGTCCATTTAGTTGGCTTTTAAAAATAGATTTTTTTTTGGTGACATAAGCACTTGGGACCCAACAATTCAGCTTAGTCACGAAGGAACATAACACAGTGTGCCTTCGTTTCATATTTGGTTTGAGCTGAGCGTGCGAGGAGCCAATAATTTGAAAAGGTGGTTAATGATATATCAAATTTAGGATAGAAAAACATTTTAAAATTTAATTTGTGATCTTAGAAATTAGTGTGAATATTACTCATTTTAATAAAGGTAATATAAAGAATTTAAAGTTTAAATTATTTTTAATTTTAAAAAATATGATAGATGATAATCGATTAAAAAGAAATACTAATATTCTAGGTAAATTTAAGAAAATGATGGACTCCCAACTCTCTGGCAATTATATTTATCTAGAGTTAATTTAACGAAGGAGTGAAGTACTTGAAATGTGCTTAGGTCATCATTTGTTTTTCATCAGATTAATTGTTACTAGTTATAATACTTAGGGGTGGATGTTATTATTTAGTTTTGAATTTAATGGACCATGATTAATAATTGTAAAATACACATGATTTAGAATTTATAATTTTAAAAGTTAAATCCATAAACATTAATTATAAATCCGCATTTGCTTAAGGAAGTATTAGTATATATATATAACATAAACACACACTAAAATGGTGTTGAGTGCTGATATTACTAGCAAGTGCAGAAATATCACTAAGTCTGTTGTTTGGACCACAAATAACATAGTGGAGATAGAGAAATGAATGACGTTTTTGAAATTGCCCTCATCTCCATTTATTAGTAGTCAACTTGATTTTTGCTATCTTCTATAATTCAAAACAACATATTATATTTATATTCTTTTTTATTTTTACTCTTTTAACCTTATCTATATTATATGGTGTGCGCAACTGTGGATGCATGATAAAATCTCACTGCAATACAGTAGGTAAAAACTAAACAAAAACATAAGCTTGTGCGTAAACCCTTATCCCACTCATCATTATTGCGTCCTTGTTTTTTTTAAAGTGGATTTACTGTCTGCTTTAATGGAAGGACTTAGTAATTAGTACTCTTCCTGTGATGGCAATTATTTATGATTAAATTAAATTAAATTATGACAGCTCATTTATAGAGTCTGAATTACTTTATATATTGTCATGAATTTGACAAATTTGTGCACCTATGAACCTGTAATGGGAGGACTCATGATCAGGTCAAAGACTTCTAAATTATGAATATGTTAGTAGTTTCCCTTCTCTACTCTTCAATAATTTGGCACGTTCAAACCGTTATATATATATATATATATATATATGTTGATTAAGGTAATTACAGAAATACAAATTTAACTTAAATCATATCTCGATTAAATATTTTTGTAATAATTACAACTATGTAATAAATACGCATATCAGTGCACTCTTAAAAATATCATTGATCTATATATTAATATATATGCAATAAAACTCTTTTAACTCTTTCGATATATATATATATACCGAGTATATGATTTTAAGTCAACTTCTTATTGTTATGTAGTACAGATATAAAATTTCATTTTTTTATTTAACTAATAAAGCTTTATAAATTATTGTAAATTATAGGAAGGGGTTTGGGGGGGGGGGTAAGTTTATGATTCTTTCCCTTTCCCACGATAAAATTAATAAAGAACCTTGCATATATTCAATTATTCTTAACAAGTCATTGTCTTTAGAGGCATTATTAACTATTGGGCCGATTCTCGGAATATAACGAAAAAAACCAACCTACTTTTGTCTTTCAATTTCATCTTCATATAATAAGATATTAATTGCACCTATTTTTCTAAAGTCCAAGTCTAAACAAAGACTACCTAACATTAGAGAACGCTCCAAATATGAAATCGAAAACAATTTCTTTATTAGAAAAAAATAATCAATAATTAAGGAGAGGGAATCCATTTAATATTCCTGAGGCTGACATTCAAAGCTCTATTTAGCTCTCAATCACATATTACAACACGTATTTATATAAAATAAAAAGCAATTAATTTCTTTGATTTGGTTACATTAAATATAAACTGCCTCCCATGTCAAGGGAACTTTATTCTTTAATAGGACATGAAATGGACTTCAGGGTATGAAGAACAGACACGTACATTGTCTACTAGTTCATCATGATAAGGTTTGAATTTTATTTGTTTTGTTCCATCTTTAATTTTGATATTTCTAAAATATTCTCTCACTTTCACTTTGGAAATTCCTTATTTGTGCACCAAAAGGGCATCACATGTCTGGTCACACCAAAAAGGATTAGATACGTATAAAACTCTTCTATCGTATAATTTTCTAGTACTACCGGCACTAGAAATTATGGAATTGATCACTAAGAAATTTATTGTGATTCCTTACTAATATGCTGTTAAAGATCTCCTACCTAATTGAATTTTCATTTTTATATAATTCATCGCTTACTTTAGCTAAATGGGATTAACATGAGATTTTTGTTATTTGGTAAAAAAAAATTATAGCAAACTCCTTACTTCGTGTAGTATGTAATATGGATTCGGTTCCCCTCCATTATTCCTTCCCTCATTTCGTCAAGTGCACGTCTAAATTAGAGACATGTATTATATTTAAAGTTTAAAGGTCAAGATTATATTATATAAATAAATATCATAAATTCAGAATCATAATTAAGTCAATTAATTCTAGAAAACTATTCTTCAAATTTGGTAAGAATTACAATATATTTCATACAAAATTTAATATTTATTAATATCTTTAATTTCATCTTAATTATCCTCTAGCGTTACCTTGAGAAAGACGGCTCAAATGAAAGATTTTATTAGTTTTTTATTAAGGAAACAATCAAATGGCTAAAAGGTTGACAATTCTATCACAAGTTCAAATAATATCACTTAATCAGGTTAAATACGTAAATCTCGCAAGCTCACTTTAATATGACTATCTAGGTTAAATATGTGAGTCAGAAGGAAAATAATTGAATCCAAAAGCGGAAGTGAGAGCTCAGGTGCATTAAAAAGAAGTATACGTATGTGGTTGATTTAATCTTGTAGTATACTATTCAATATTAAAATATTAATGGGAAAGACATAATAAAGCATCACATAGACAATGAAACTTAATTAGCTAAGTATGCCGACTTTATAAAATATGATCAGAAGAAGGTACTTGCTACAATATGACATACACAAAAGTGTATGCCAAGTCGGCCGGCTAAGAAAGTGTACAATATTTTATTAGTTAAATTACAAGTGTTACCAAACCCCCTGTCTGGTCTTTGCCATAACCTTTTCTTTTTTTTTTAATAACTATTGCCTTTGGATGATCTAGTTTAATTTACAAAATAGTCAGCAAATTTATGTATATGTATATAATCAGTACATAAAATTTATATTGGAGAATTGACTTAGTTATAGTCGCTATTCATGATCCACCTAATTAATTAAATTTATAATAGTTAACAGATACATAATATATTTATAATTGTATATAATTATTATATAATTTATATAAATTGATGAAAGATATTAATAAATTTGTTCGCCTATTTGTATGAATATCTACATGGATATAAATAAGTTTGACCAAATTACAAATTGTACGTGTTAGTAAATTTTTAAAAAAATTATTCTCTTTCAAAAAATGATGTTATTATGACAAAATATTTGTTTGTAATCATATAAATATATATGGTTTATCGTACAGCATAATTGATTATTGATGAATTGTTTTCCTTTTAAATTTACTTTTATCACATCAAAGTGGGATGAGGGGAGTATAATAAAAAACGCAAAGATATAGAACTATTGGAGTATCGCTTTTTATTTTATTGTTTTTAGGATAAAGTTGATAGATGTGGGATTGAAAATCAAAGAGAGTGCATGGGCGGCTGTTAATTAGGAGTTCACTTTAGACCAAGCACGTACTACACATGCACTATTTTTGAAAAGTAGCTGACACTACTTTTAACTTGAAAGACCTCTTCTAACCTTTCTTCAGACAATCAACAACAAACTACTCTCATTTCCTCCTTTGTAGAAACTTCTTCTCTTTGCTAACACTGCACCTACTTCAGTTTTAACGTGTGTCATGCAATAACGAATAAAAAGACATGAAGCTAAGATTGTGTTTGGATACATAAAGATTTTTGAAAATCTCTTATTTTTAAATTTAAAATATTGTCTTTTAATCTGGTGATATTGTAAACATGTTGTTAGTGAAAAAGTCACGCCAACACATGTTATGTTAGAAAGTTGAAATACAAGTTGTGTCATTAAAGAATATGCATTCTCATTAACAAATGAATTGAAATTTTTTTTTTAAAAAAAAAAACGCTTTGCAGCTGGTTGGATGAATGCTAGTCAATGTAAAACTCTTGAACGGAATTGTATAAAAGTGAATAGAAATTAACTTATCCAATCGCTTATTCCCAGACGGCTGGCTGATATTCAGTTGAATTAAATTAGTTTCAAAAAAGACGCTTGCGTTAAAGGGTTAATTAGTTCAAACGACCTTAAAGAATAGCCTGACGCAAAAGTTTTGTTAGATATACTATAACAAAAACAATTTTTAGCGATATTGGATATTGTCATTAATAAAGAATGCTAAAATCTTTGGAAAAGGGCCTAAAATACCCTTAAAGTATTGAAAATGGTACAAAATTATCCTTCATCCACCTATTGGCTCCAAAATACTCTTGTCATCCACCTTTGAGTTCAAAATTGACCACTTATTTAATAATTTTGAATTTAAACTATTTAAATATTTTTTAAAATACATGATGCTCAACTATTGGTTATAATTTAATTTATTTGTATCATTTATAAACCAAATCACTACCCACTAATTACTAACTAAACCCCACCCAATTAATAATCCAACTATTGTATCAAAATCGTCATAAACACTACTAAAATACTATGAAATTATAGGTTTCTAAAAGTGACATCCAAAATTATTCGAGTCCGAATTAAGGCCCCAATTAAATATATGTTGAGCCGCTTATTTAGAAGGACACTTTCAATAAGATTCTCTTTCAAGATTGAATTTGAAATTTATGATTAAATGTAAAGAATTAATATATCCCGAATTAATTCATGCACTTTTTTTAAATATACTTTTACAAATATTTATGATTTGTTTTAAAACCTT